AATGCGATGAATATAGTCGTTCAGTGCATTAGAAGTGCGTTATGGTTTTCGTACTACCCAGGCGCGAAAGACCAATGCTGATGATAAATTAAAGTTTGATTGAGTCTTGAACGCTCAGTGTGGGTAACCCACAGTAGAAGCAGTCTTTACATCACTGTCACTCAATATTAGTTCAACATTGGGCCCAATGCTCGTCCCATGCTCGATTCAAAACTCGGTCAATCTTTATGAGTGAATCTCGAACATCTATTCTTGATTCAAGCTTGAATCAATCTTTACACAATATTCAGTTTATCTTTATTTATTACCGTGTTCACTTAACTAAATAACATTATAATAATTATAATAATTGTTTCAAATAATAATAATAATTAACATAAAGTTATGAATTGATAAATAAATATTTATATTTATTTAGTATAAATATATTATTAATTGTAACTTTCATATTTAAAAAAAGTTAAATGGAAAATTTTTTTTTATAAATGTTTTCAAAATTATTATAGATAATTAATAAATAATAATTAAAATGTGCAATAAATATTCCTGACACTGCATCATATTTAATAATTTTATTAATTATGTTAATTTTTAATATTAATTTAATTAATTATTATTTATTAATTAATTATTATAATTATTAATAATTATTATTGAATTAATAAATATTATTATAATTAATAATAATTATAATATTTAACATTATAATTCATTATTATTCCAAATTATATTTATTTAAATAATATATTATTAATGTATCTAATAATAAATGTTAATAATTTTGTTACTGAATAATAAAAAATATCAATTATTTATCGATGTTTATTAAATTATTCATTAAATATTTTTAATTTTTAAATGTTTTAAAAGTTGAATTTTATAATGATTATAATTTTATTAGGGGCCGTCCATAAACCACGTAGCCCCATTTTTTGGGAATTTTGACCCCCTTCCTCCCCCATGTAGTACGCTATTACATGTATTAGCGCCATTTTTTCCTCTTGTCGTAGTCAATTGCTTGACCCCCCCCCTCCCCCTCAAGAGGCTACGTGGTTTATGGATGGCCCCTTATGGTAGTTTACTTTAGTTGCTAACAGATGGGCATTACCCGTGTAGAAATTTAACCATGGCCCAAATCGGGGCCAGATCTTATGATCATTGTGTAGGCCATAACATGGCATGAAACACCTTCCCAGATCGGGCCCAAGTCTGGCTAGACTTGGGCCCGATCTGGGAAGGTGTTTCATGCTGTTTGAGTATATTATTACAAGAGAATATTATTTATATATATATTATTATATTATATTATTATTATTATGTATATTATTATTTTTCGCAACGCGTTAAAAATGCTATTTTACAGGTCATTTTAATTAGTTATTTTACTAATTGCTTTCTATTGATGATAGTCGAAAATTATTTCATTGGAAACTTTGACACTCTAATTTTCCATTTTTGTAAAGAAAGTGTAAAAATGTTAATTTTTGTGGGAGAATCGGCTGTTGCAAAATTGCGATTTTAGTGCTTGGTTTGTTTACTTTTTGGTTTGTTTACATTTCACAACTTGGAAAAACATTTTTTTCCTTTTACACGGAGAGAGATTTTGTATTAATATTTGTTAAAATTGGCAATAGAATTTAATATATTCTTTTTCAATTTAGGTAAATCGTGTTTTATATTAAAAATTAATATTGTGCATATTAGTAGGCAGCCCTTGATATATTTTACAAAAATTAATAAAATTGTAATACAATTTAATAAAAGAATTATAATTTTTAAAAATGACTATATTAAAATCGCAGTCCGTGAAAGTATCGAAAGAATAAGAAAAATTGAAATAGTTCTTTTAAATTTTAGAATAAAATACATATTTCAATCTTTAATATAGTTAATACTAAAAATTATGAGTGAGTCGAAAAGGACAGGAAATAAAAAGACGTAGGAAGGAGGAGGATAGAATTATCGTTTCGAAAGTATTTCGCACACACACCAATGAGCTAACGCAAGCATCATACTATATACATCATACTATACAAACACAAACTATATACAATTTCGGAGATCTATGTTAAAACCTATAAACGCATACATATAAACTTAACTTAAATACAAATAAACGCAATAACGCACGCACGCTGTACATTGGGAGATACAGTTCTCAACTTCCTTATATACTAAACTCGAGAAATTTTCTGAACTTGTGAGAAAGTGATATTTTCTCCATATTTTGTTTAAAAAAGTTCTTAATTTATTTTACATTATAAATACATACTTTTGTATGCTGGGTCAAAATTTTATTCAGAAATGTTTATCATAATACTGTTTTTAAAATTGTTTGTTTCTGGAAAATGATTTCTATTGAAATTATATCCAATTTTTCGTTATATAAAAAACCCATCATTTAATTTATTGGCATAAGAAAATGCAGCATATCTTAAATCATTCTTTTTAAATACCTTCCAATGTCCTAATTCATTTTCGTACACGGAAAAAAATTAATATCTAAACTTGAAATAATATTAATTTGAAATCCAATGGAATGTAAGTATGTCTAAAATAGACATTATAGTCACAATTAAATTCACATCTCTGATTTAGAGATTTGTTAATTTCACAACTTATCTGATGTGAATTACATTGCGTTTGAAGTTCATCATTGTCAAAGAATATTTAAACCATTTTAATTATTTAAGTATTAATTTTATATTTTAAATGCAGTTTCATTCCCAGTTTTCACTTTCCATATTTTACAAATGTTTTTCGCGTTATCACGTGTGGGACATATTTTTATTTATTAGTATTTTCAGGTTAAACTTTCGTTTGACACTTGAAAACCTAACCTATATTGAAAGTTGTACCAAACCATGTTTTTTTATTAAGAAATAGAAAAAGAATGTTTATATTGTGTGATGTTGAGATAATTTGATTCAAATAAAGAAATGAAATAATAAAAAATTCATATTATCTTCAAAAAATGTCCAATTTTTTATGATTGTCAATGGATTTTTTTATAAGTTCATACTAAAAGAAAAATATACATTCTTTGAATAATTCTCACTCTAAATTGTGATAAATCATAAAATTTGAGATTTCTAATATCATTTTCAGGCATAAAAATACGGATTCTTCACACTGATAATATATGCGGATTAGATATAACTCTAAATTTCAGTTTTACAGATCTGTTCAAATCACACATCCGATTCCAGTGATAGTTTATGCCTAAATCTCATATTAAATCTCTAATTTAGAGATTAATTTTTTTGCGTGTAAATTTTGAATGCTCTCAAATGCTCATTTAAAAGACAATGGACTATGCCTTTTACTACAATTAGGAAATCTTCATTGTCGATTAAAATTATTGAATGAACAAAATAAAATTGTTCACCCAATTCCGACACATTTTGACACATCAAATTAAAATATTTTGGGGTAAACACAACGTGCACATGTTGCCACGAGGTTTGACTCGGATAATTTCGGAACTGCTCGACTGAAATATTCGGCTAATCTCGGACAGCTTCGTAACCGCTCTACGTCAGCCTGACGTCAGACCATAGCCTGCTATGGCCTGCTACTAGGCTGGTCATAATTTTTATTATAGTCGATAATACTATTCGTAACTAAATTAACAACTTATGTAATTCTTCGATAGTATTTAGTATAATCATCTGGTAATACTTTTTACTATTGCATACTTTCTTACTTATAATATTACAACTTCTTATTGACTATTTCAATTTCTATTACTTCAGAATAATACAAAGTAATAATTTGATTATAAACTTTCTTAAAAATGGTAATATTAATTCATAAATGTACATGATTTCCCCAAATTGCAATCGGTTTTACTAAATACTAATATAATAATACGAAATATTAAAACAGAATCTCTCTCCGTGTAGTACTCTTGAAATGAGTTACCTTGATTTTTTTCATAAAGCGGTTCAGGAGATACTAATTTTTTGAAAAATGACGTTTTTTACGTAAATTTTTTTTAAATGCTTATAACTTGGTCAAAAATTGATCAAATTAGACGTTTTTATAATGAAAAGTTTTGTTTTCATGCGTAGTTTTCAATAAAAATATTTTTTGAAAATTTTAAAATAATTTACGGTAAGATTTTAAAAAATTTTAAATAAAATTTCATTTTTAACAATGTTTGTATTGATTAATTTTTTTCAAAATTTTTTGTAAGAGACTAGCACTAAATTAACAACATTAAAGCCTTGTTCGATCGTGGACAAACGATGGGATCTATTTATTTAAATTTTTTTAATTTTTATATACACAGTGAAAACGGTAGGCCTAACTTGTCATTTGACCAAATCACAATTTTACACAGAAAGAAGGTTAAGTTTGGAGCGACTCAGTCTGAAAACACATTTGCTGTGAAAAATGTGTATGATTTTGTCAAAAATGGGAAGTTAGTCATTTGGATACCACTGCCTATATAAAAATTAAAAATTTCAAAATAAATTGATCCCATCGTTTGCCCACGATCAGATAAGGCTTTAAAATTGTTATTTTAGTGCTAGTTTTTGCAAATAATTTTGAAAAAAATTGATCGATACATACATTGTTAAAATTTTTAATAACTTATCGTAAATTATTTAAAAAATTTTTAAAAATATTTTTATTGAAAACTACGCGTGAAAACAAAAATTTTCCTTATAAAAACGTCCAATTTGATCAATTTTTGACCGAGTTATAAGTATTTAAAAAAAAATGTACGTAAAAAACGTCATTTTTCAAAAATCTGTATCTCCTGAACCGCTTTATGAAAAAATTTTTAAAACATCAAGGTAGCTCATTTCAAAGAGTACTAAAAGAAAAAAATGTTTAAAAAAAATTTGAGATGCAAAAGCAAAATAATTTCCGATTTGGCGTGGAATGCCCCATATATATATAAATTTTTTTTTAAAATTATAATAATAAATAAATAAAATAATCTTTATTATAATCATAATAGCATTAATGAAAAATAATATTTTTTACAGAAATGAATACTATGGATCCTGTTGGGGACGGTGGAGGAGGAGAGGAATCCGGAACTGATAAAAATACAACCGCGGGGACACCTTCGACTCAACATCAACAGCATCCACCACCTTCACCACTTAGCGGATGTTATCTTCTCGTGGTACTTCCAGAACCTCATACCGCACAACATAAGGACCTTATCTTAAGTCGCCTAGCAAAAGGTCAGCGTTTACCGATTTTCTTTTTTTTTTAATTATATAGTAATTGATTTTTATGCATAATTGATTTAAAAGCGATATATAGTGTGTATATATTATTACCTTATAGAGTGTATTATATAATAATTGTTTCAGTAATTATTATCGTTGTATATGAATTTTACCACAATTTATTTTATTAGGGGAGAGGTACGCACGTTGAGACGGTCCGCACGTTGAGACACTAAGATATTATAACCTGTGTAACTGTTAATACCAAAAAGTTTATTGGCATTTTGTCGTATCATTAATACCATACTTTTTATTCAAAAGAAGCGCGATAACTCCTATTTTTTCGGTAGAACTAGAGCGAACCAATTTTTTAGTTAAAAAAAGTGTTTTTCAGGATTTCTGTTTAGTGTATTTAGTGCATTCTTTATAGTGGCAGAAAAAAGTGCGGATAACATTTACATATCAATTTTGGTTCTACTTTAATGTTCCGACAAAAATTTAAACATACGCTAACATCTAGAAATAATTTCAAAGCTTTAAAAAAATAACGGCGAGGTCTGCACGTTGAGACACACTGGGGTACGCAGGTTAAAACGCTCACGGTTTGAAAATAGTAGGGAAGGATGGGGCAAGGATAGTTAGTTGCTGTTATGCTTAGACGGCTTGCTAAAAAATCGCGTAATTCATGGTATATTCGCGTTTTAACATTAAAAGATGATAGCACTGCAAAAACTAGCGTCTTCGAAACGTCTTATTTTAAGACATTAGACGTTTTGAAAACGTCTAGTCTGGAATAAATGAGTAATTCATCTGTCTTTCATGCAAAGTGTCTAAAAATTTGAGACACTTCTTGCGTCTTACAAATGTAAACAAGTCACTTTCAGTGCTTATAATTTAAGACATATAATGTAGACGGTAAAAGTGTCTATATTTAAGTCATTTTTGCTAATTTAAGACGTTTTCGAAGTAAGACACTTTGAATAAAAGACATTTTGTGTATTCGAGTATCTTCGGTAATATTCGTCTTGCCTCGTCTCGATGAAAGTTTCCCGCGCAATATCAATGCATACATGCATTTTTAGGTTATGTATCGATTCAAGCAGTAAATTTCATCTGAATGAAGACACTTTAAACGTCTCCAAAATAGTCACTTTTAACGTCTTCCTAAAAGACATCCCAAAACGTCTTACAAATGAGGACAAAATAGTGTCTCAAATATAGACACCTGTTTTTGCAGTGAGCAAAAATTGGAAGTCAATCTGTCACCATTTGCGAAGTTGGGAGTTTATTTTTGAAAAAAGTCTGTTTTTCTAAAATGTCAACGTAATGTTTATCATATTGTTTTCTACATTAGAGTTTCAGAATATTTATTTACGTAAGTGTTTTCCAGAGTGGAATTTCCTGCTGAACACGAATATCGTATTTATTTTCAAATTATAATTCACATTGTTCCATAAAATTTAGAAGTTTATTGATCAAGGAATTGGTGGTCATCTGAAGAAAAATGGTTAAACCTCTGATTCTAGTTCAGATGAATTTTAATACAATAATTGCAATTCAGAAAATGTTCAATACATATTTTTAATACTTGAGATAACAATATTGAATAGTCTAAATCCATCAAAATAAAGAAAACAAAAATTTACTGATTTTCTATAACATGTTTAGCATTCGAATTCTTTTAACTATCCTTGCCCCGGTGCTGGGGCAAGGATAGTTAAAAATTTTTGTTTACTTTTTCATTCGTATCTCGTAGGGATTTGAGTCTACAGTAAAATTATGTATAGCAAAATTATAGCCAAATAACCAGGCTTTCCAAAAATACTTTTCGTTTGCAGATACATATTCAAGTTTGGCCGCTAGATCCGAAAAGGTTTAACCTAACTATCCTTGCCCCATTCTCCCCTACTGTTATTAAAATTGATTTTGAATCCACAATTTTTAAGCGTTTTACATGTTCTTCACCTGTAAAAATTGCGAATATAAAGATTTCGATTAATTATTTTTGTGCAAAATAAAATTAAATAAAAATGCGAATATTCAATTGTTTTTAACAAAATTATGTTCAATATTGCCTTTGCCCCACATAACAAACTTTTTTTTTTACTTTAAATTTAAAATATTTAGATACAAAATTCAACTAAAACACCACGCCAGTTGTGTAGAGAAATATTTAATTTATTTACATGTTACGTTTTTAAAAATTAAATACTTAAACTTATGTTTTAAAAAATAAAAGTTTGTTCAGTAAAATTATCATTTTATTTTTGCAAAACAATTTTTTTGTTATATTTCTTAAAATATTTGATATTTTTAGGTTTTTCTTTTTTTAATCAATTGAGGCGAGTTATTGGATCCAAGGCCTCAATTTGTCTGATTGCATTGCAACTTAATTTTTAATTCCAATTGGAATAGACAGAAAATAAAAGAGATATTTTAAAAAACGTCTTTGCCCCGCATAGCGCCTTTGCCCCCTCTCCCCTAATTCAAAAGCAAAAAGTCAGTCACTAATTCGAATTAGTAAACATTTTTACTAATTCAAATTTAGAGAGTATCGAATGTAAAAAGTAATACAAAATTTAATAAAATTTACAATGACGATGTAAAAATTAAAATTCTTAAAGCAATTTTTAAAAGTGACTAATGTAATAATTATTACTATTAGTAATTTTTACTACCAGAAATAGTAATATTTACTTCATGCGAAGTACATTTTACAATGAATAGTAATTTTTAATATAAAAGTAGAATTATTACTATTCCATAGGAACTTTTACTAGAAACTCAGCACCATTTTTCTCCGTGCGTCTAGGTTTAAAATAATTGAAATATTTTAATGTTCTTGGACTCAACTAAAAAAGTTATTATCATGAGAATTTGTCAAATTTTTTAGATTAAATTTAAAAACTACACTGAAAAAAATACATTTATGGTACTGCCATAAATATAGCTAATTCTCACATATTATATTGGTGGATATGGAACTGCCATGCAGTATTGCTGTTTCAGCCATACGCAGTGTAGAACAGCCATATGTATGTGAGAGACAGTAATATGTATGTGGAGAACACCAATACTGTATTTTAAGAACAGCAATACAGTATTGCTGTTTCACCTATACGTCCTTACTATACTCGTAAAACAAAATCGACAATATTTTTTTCAGTGTAGCATATTTTTAATGGAAACTATCACATTACTATTAGATATGTAAATTACACGTAAAATTACCGTTAAAATAGGTCGAAGAACATGAATTTTAATCTGGCTACCACTTAATTTTGAAAATTAAATTTTAAGGCTTAATATTTTTTTTGTTTAAAACCAATATAAAATTTTTAAAAATTAACTGGGTGCTGATAACTGGGTGCCACTCTTAGCTTCGTTTATAGAACATTGAAACATATAAATTATTTCAGAAATTATGTTAGTTTTAAGAAAACAAGCAAACTAAAGAATTTTTTACATATGTTTCTAGAAAATTAATTAAATTTTTTGTTTGAGGTTTAATTTTTAACAATTTCTAATAGATTTTAGAGGATTAGAGGGAAAATATATTAATTAATATACAATTTGGAAACAAAATTCTTTATAGCATTAGAAATGTATCATTTACACAATGTTTGTAGATAGTGCACGATTAATTTAAAATAATTCAAAATTTATTGGAGAATAATTTATAAATTTCGAAATATTAAAAATCCCAATATTATACCCGTCGAAGATGGTACGACAGCAATATATATATATATATATGTCGTAGGCAAATAGAAAAATCCGGCATTTAGCTTAATGCCTAGGCATTGGGCTAAATGCCGGCAAGTACATAAATAAATCGTGAAAAATGGTTATTTTCCTATTTGCCTGAAATCAATTAGTCATTTAGCTTATTGACTAGGCGTTAAGGAAATTGCCTAAGTAGCACCCGGCAAATAGAAAAATGAGAATATGTGCATGTGTCACTCAACAGAAATATTAAAAAAAAAATATGTCAAAATTAATTAACACAAATATTTTATTATCAATTATAATAATAATAATAATAAAATATTTAGTAAAATGATTGAAATAAAATGAAAAATATAATTCACAAAATAAAATTACTTAGACGTTTTGATTTCCAATATAATGCAATTTCTAGCCATAATGTAACACTTATTTAAGACTGACGCTCCAGTCCTTGTTGAAGATTGGCGTTCAATGTTCAATCAATGCTGCGGAACCCTAATGCAGGACTGAAACAAGGCTGCTTCCACTGTTCCCAAATTTACGCGTCTCTCGCGCTCATTCAATATAATATGGATATATGAATTGTATATAATAATAATAATAATAATAATAGTAATAATTATAATTGTAATAGTAATGAATATTATTGTTATTATTTTTATTCATATTATATGCGTTTGTTAATTTAATGGCATTAAGTAACTATTATAATAATTATATTATTATCATATAAATAATATATTACTAACAATAAATGTCATTTGAAATAGTAATATTAAAAAAATAATTTTAGTAAAAGAAAACAATTTTTCTGTTAATCGGTACATTTTTTTCTCGATTTTTCAGCAGACTTTTTAATATTACTTACAAACATATTCACATTTTTTATTCACAACACAACACACAATTTTATTATTAGATATAACGCTTAAAACAAAGAATGAAAAATATTTGCTCGCATGTGGGATCGAACTCACGCACCCCGCCCCTAACGCATACCGGAAGTCCTAAACGCACGCATTTAAACCGCTCGGCCACAGAAGGCTGGAAGGCATCTCGCCTAATCTACTATTTCAATGCCAGCGCCGTATATTCTGTATATACGGCGCGTCACTCAATATTTGTTCAGCATGGGACACCAATGTTCGTCCCATGCACAGTGGGCCAGGATCGTCAAATTTTGGCCAAAAATACAATTTTTCAACTTTCAAATATGCACAAAAGAATTTATCTACAGTATTTAATAGTAAATAAGGAATTTATTGCATAAAGGATTTGTTAAA